CGTCTGACAGTGAGAGACCAGTGGCAATATCATGTCACTAGCCTTAGAAATGAAAAGGGAATACAAGAAAAAGTGCACATCTTGTCTGCTTGTGTGTCAGAGCGGATTATATGCTCTTTAGTTTCTGTCTAAATGTTTGCTGTGAATTGCTTTGATTTCAAAATCCGAAGCTAATGTTTGCTCCCTTGCCGTTTGTTCTTATTGACTGTTCAGGGCACACTGCGAGTGCTCCTGGTCCTGCTGCACGACTTCCCAGAGTTCCTGTGTGATTACCATTATGGCTTCTGTGATGTTATCCCACCCAACTGCATCCAGCTCCGCAACCTCATCCTCAGTGCCTTCCCACGCAACATGAGGCTTCCTGACCCATTCACCCCCAACCTGAAGGTAAGAATACGCACACACACACTGAGTGAACCGTGCTTCAGAGTGTGTTTGGTGTGAGTGACACTGTCTTTGAAGACAGACAAATCATGTAATATATCTGTCTTCTATCAACACCCCTTCTGCAGGTCGACATGCTGAGCGAGATCAACATTGCTCCTCGTATCCTCACCAACTTCACAGGCGTTATGCCTTCCCAGTTCAAGAAGGATCTGGACTCGTATCTGAAGACACGCTCGCCTGTCACTTTCCTGTCCGAGCTGCGCAGTAACCTGCAGGTAAGACCAGTTTCCATTTCTGTTAAGGTCATAGTTGTATCCAAAAGATTTCTGTCCACTTTTTGCCTGATGCTCTCGCACTGAAAAGGAAGGCAATCAATCTATTTTTGCAGGTTAGACTAAATGGAGGAGTATGAATAAATCTTTTGGATGTGTTTATCATTCAATAGATGCATTCAATAGATGCATTTGGTTTAAGTTAGTTGTTAACTTTATCTGTTTTTGTCTCCCAGGTGTCTAATGAACCAGGAAACCGCTACAACATCCAGCTGATCAATGCTCTGGTGTTGTATGTAGGCACACAGGCGATTGCTCACATCCACAACAAGGGCAGCACCCCGTCCATGAGCACCATCACCCACTCTGCACACATGGACATCTTCCAGAACCTGGCTGTGGACCTGGACACTGAAGGTAGGGGAGCATAAAAACCGCATCTGTTTCTGTCAGACAGAATGAGCAAAGGTTTCTGCAGAGGATTTTTTTCCAAGTCAGCCAGTACAAAAAAAAAAACATGTGGCCAGCAACCCATGCCTTCTATAGACATAGCAGGAGCTGTCGTGACTTGTATGTGGTTTGGAGGTGCATTTAACGAGTGTTACTTGATCGCAACATGTTCTGTAGAGCCAGATAAAAGCCTGTTGACCCCGTTGTGTTGCATGTTTATGGGCGACACAGAAAAGCAGTTTAGATGCACAACATCTGCACTAAACAAAAACAGAACACTGATCAGGTTTCTGGCCTCATGTCTTCCCAGGGCGGTACTTGTTCTTGAACGCGATCGCCAATCAGCTGCGCTACCCCAACAGCCACACTCACTACTTCAGCTGCACCATGCTTTATCTGTTCGCTGAGGCCAACACCGAGGCCATCCAGGAGCAGATCACCAGGTGAGACAGTCTGATCTGAGGTCTGGGCGACTATTAGATGAAGACAGCTCCAAGTTCTGTTAGTTAAAACTGTCTTCTCATCTCCTAGGGTCCTGTTGGAAAGGCTGATAGTGAACAGGCCTCACCCATGGGGACTCCTCATCACCTTCATCGAGCTGATCAAGAATCCCGCCTTCAAGTTCTGGAGCCACGACTTTGTGCACTGTGCCCCTGAGATTGAAAAGTAGGTTCCCTGTTGGACTTGATTTCGATCATAGTCATGATAAGAAAACCAAGTCATGTCCGTGACATTGACGTCTCTCCTTCCCGTGTGTCCTCAGGCTGTTCCAGTCGGTAGCCCAGTGCTGCATGGGACAGAAGCAGGCCCAGCAGGTGATGGAGGGCACCGGTGCCAGCTAGCCTGTGCACCAGCCAGCTTGTAGCCCTTGGGAGAGATGCCGTGGCCTTGACCCACCCCCCACCACACAAATACACACAACCTCCCTCTTTACTGTTGGCACTGGATAAACTGGCAACCACAGTCATTTGAAATGTGGATGAAAGGACTACTGCTCACGGATCTAAGGAGTTAGATTTTTGTTTATCCCTTTGGGGGCGGAATTGAGATGGAGAGAACAGATTGGGACGTGCTGTTTAATATACTTTTTTGATGCTTTGATGTAAATATTGAAAAAAAAAAAAAAGGGAGAACAGGGGAGTAGACAAGTGGAGAGCAATGCACATGTCAAATAAAATGTACCCTGACATGTAAAGACATCTAAACATATTTTCACTCACTACCAAAGTCCTTGGTTTGCTTCCCTCCCACACAAATCCTTTTTTTTTCTGACTTTTTTTTTTTTTTTTTTTTTGGCTTTCAGAGGCTGAATGGTAGATGATTGAAGAAAAAAAGCTGCCTGCTACTTTCATTTGATTCCTTTTTATCCCTGAGTGGGACAGAAAGATATAGTTAAGTCTCCCAGGTGGGGGTGGGGGTCTACTCATGGTGTGTCGGTGTGTTGGTGGAGACGGTTTGCTGATGGTTTCTCCATTTGAAACTGGCTCTGGAAGTCTCTCCCTGGCACTTGTAAAATTGTGCAAAGTGATGGTAACATCGAATCTTGACAATTTGTATAAAGATCCAAATTGAAGAACAACAATAGAAGGACCAATACAGCCCATTTTGTAACATTTTGAATGTTTTGTAAATGTATTGGTCCATGTGTTGTATTTTGTAGTCCTTTCTAGTTTGCCTTTAGTTCTTGCTACTTAACTGCAGTATGCATACATACAGGAAATAAAGCATTCAAACTGCAACTGCATCTGTGTTCTTTCAGCACTACAAGGGCAGTAGTGTACCACATGGTAGGCCTTGGTTTTATAAGCCTTGATGTTTATAAAAACTGAGTTAATACTAAAAAATATTTTACTGCTAGTTTTTGTCACTCTAGGTAAAGGTGCTGCTTATAAACTATTGAATGCCTGAAAACCTAATTTTGAAACATGAGAATGTGTGATTAGTAATGTGTTTTATGTACAAGTCAGTAGTAGTTTTGAAACTATTTGAGGCTCTTCGATGTGACAACAGCCAATGTTTACACTAGTTAAAACTTCCTTGTTTTGGTGTGTTATATAGGGGTTTCTTTGTACATGTAAAAGGTCTGCAGGGTCCATCCCAGAATGAGTTATTCTCTCCCACAGACATCACTGTTCTTTGCCTGCCTGTAATACTGTGTTTTAAGCCCAGGCCTTTCTTCCACTACTTGCCTCGCAGCTAGTTTGGTACGCCTTCCAAAAATGAGCATTATTCCTTCACTAGAGCTTCTTCTGTTAATTAGGGTAACTTATGTTTCTTCACATCCTCTCGCCCAAAAATCATTTCATCAGGGAGGATCTTCCAGTTTCTCATATGCGCTTTGAGGATGGAAGAGGCTTTGGAAGAAGTGAGGAAACGGGTGTATGCTACGCTTTTGTCAAGTGAAGTGACAGAAGTGCTGTACCTTCACGAGTCTTGATTTGCTTTGACGGGTGATACAGCTTGTGTTGTATAAGACCGATGCTGTTAAATGAAGGGCTTCTCGTTTGGCAGCTTCAGCGTCAGGAGCAAAAAATACAATCAAGGGAAGCCATCAGACACACTGGCATCATGAAAACCCCCGGCATTTTTCAGTCTGAAAGATTTGGGCTTGCAGCACGTAATCAAATTTAGCTCGCTTTCGACCAATCAGAGCAGACTGGGCTTGTCAAAAAGAAGGTGAGAAGAGGTGCTGCAGCAATGTACAGTATGAGGACAATGTGTTTTTGAACATTAAAGCATATAAGCCCCCAAATAAAGTTAGAAACCTGTAAATGTAAACAATATGGCCTTTTTGAAAAAACAACATATGCATATAATGTGCAAATGACTTCTGCTAAAGATTTCATTCGATGCTAACCAGTTGTTTGCATATCTAGGAAAATGTCGTCGTTTCCCCTCTTTTACACTGCATTAAGCTGTCTCCATTCAGCATCTGTCTTAAAGCAGATTCAGTTTTTAAAAGTTCCAAACACTGGCTGAGTTTTGTAGATGTTTGTGTCGTAGTCTGAAGGCAGATGAATGTGGGTGCATCTGTGCTCTGGGTGGTTTGTATCCTGCACCTGAATACTTTATGGCCCGGTTTCGCGTTTAGGGCTTAAATAAAACCAGGACTAAATTAATCCGGTTTGAGTTAGTCCCACTTATCCAGTTGCTTTCTGAGGTGTTATTTAAATTCAGGTTTACTAGTTCGAGCCTACAGAGTCTCAGACTAAGGTAATCAAGGGCAACTCAGGTCATGTTTTGGGAGCCGAATCAGATTAACAATGTGCACATGGTGCAAAGGTGAGGGTGCTCTACAAACCTGGGTGGAATATTCCAATATACATTTTAGCAGTGTGTGTGTATAACTGCAGTTTGATCCCTGAACCAGAATGGAGAAAGAAAAAAAGTGTTCAAAAAACAGTGAAAGCAAAAAGACACTTTTAAAGTTAGTTATTTCAAAGTACCCCATAACTGAAGACAAACATCATGATTCAACAACAGAAACCAAAAAAAGGAACGCATGGACTGCAGTTTTTTATAAATATAACTCAAATGAAAAAGTAACCTGCCTCTGGCCAGGTTTAATTTAAATCTTGATTTAGACCTTGATTAGCTCTGGTCTCTCTTCAAGAAAGGAGATTATTTAACTCAAGACTGGGACAACTCTGAGACTATTTTAATCCATGTCTCAGAAAGCCATTTCAGCAAATCCTGGTTTACAACGTGATTTAATCTAGAACTAGGGCTTAATCCCTGTGCAGGAAACCGGGCCTAAATGTTTAGCACAAAGCTGGCAGCAGACTATTGCAGATAATAAAGCTTGTCATAGCTACACCTATTTTCATATGCAGGTAAAAACACTTCAAATGTCAGCACTTAATATTATCAACAGCGGTGCAAAACAAAAACCCATCTTCAAGAAAAATATTTATTTAATGTGTGTTTTAAGAAACAAAGGATGAAGAAACAGTCTTTGTTGCAGGCAGACTCATGACTTGGTGAGCTCCATCAGTCTGTGCAGGATGCTCTTCTGTCCGTAGCGAACCTGCAGTGCTCTCCACTGCCTGCAGCTCAGTCCTGCAGCAGCTGCCTTGTCCTCCATCAGTGCCCGGTCGCCGTCCACCATGTTGTCTTCCAGCTTCCCCTCCTCGTCTCCGTAGGACCTCAGAGTCAGACGTGCCGCCTCATGAATCAACCACTTCCACGGGGCCTTTAACTCAGGAAGACCCTCGTTGGAGAAAGCCTGGGAGATCTTCTCGTCGTCCTCATCATCTTCCTCCCATCCTTCGTTGTCTTTGAAGTCTGAGAACTCTTCCTGCGACATGCACAGCACCTGAGACGCACAAGATTTCAGCCAATCGTACATCTCTACTATGTGCTCTTTAATGTCTGTTTCCTGGCTTTGGTCAATATACACGTGCACACATGTACCCTAATTAGTGGTGTTGTCTCTCACCTTGAGCGCAGTATGCAGCTCTGTGTCTGTAAGGCAGCCCTGTTTACCGAAGATAAAGGCCGCTTTCTCCTGCATCATCTCACACAGCGTCTCCCACTGCTCCTCCTTCAGCTGCCGGTACAAATCAGACTGAATACCTGCGAGCAGAATCAAAGCTAAGGAATTAAAGGGCAATGTCTGCAACAACGGTTGACAACAAAAACAATGTGACGTTAATCTGAAGAGGTTGTACTCTTTGATTGAAATCTCTTGTCAACGTCAATAACGCAAGAAATCAACCCCGAGAAATGCAACTGACAACTACAGTAAGACTTATAGGACATAGCTGTAACGTACCATCAACAGCAACACTGTTGATCGTCTGCAAGTCTTTTTCTTTTAACTAATTTAGCAAACAAACCTGTAAACACTGGCAATCACATTCAGTGTGGCAAAACAGCAGCTGATAGTCTGACTTGACAGTTTCTAAAAGTGATGAATTGAGTAGAAAGATGCTTCCTTTACAAAAATGCATTCAGCGTACTGCATTCTCAGACCTTCTCTGTAATCCCTCAAACTGTCTCTATCATCTGTAAAGTTTTGATTTATAGCTGATGCAGCAGAATTCCACTGTAGACACCTGCAGAGTAGTTTGGGATACAGAATTGACTATCAGATTTCACCCTCTCACCAATTAGTTGCAAATTGTTTTCGCCATCGGTTCTAATTATCCACAGTAGGGCTGAACAATATGCAAAAAAAAATAAAAAAATCACATTGTGCTAATTTTGACTGATATTGTGGTAAGTCAAGATTTTAATAAGAATCTTTTTTCACTTGCACATTCCCTTACATCTGGAGAGTCAGATTTATAGGCCCAGGGCCCTCTGTAGCACCACAATGCGTCATTTATAATGATATGTTGTGACATATTTTACTTCTATCAAAAAAAATGCAGCTCCTGTGATTTGGGTGTTGCACTTGCCATATTCAGATTTTTACAATATTTAATAGTTCTGATCCACACACGAGCTACATCCAGGAAACTTGTAACATTAGTTTGTCAAGTTTCATTAGTGAACAGGAGACTATTCTTTTGCAATCACTGTGTTTATGGTCATTAAGTCACAGGAAACAATGATCGCAGTGAGCAGGTCTTCAACGTAATGACTTTGCTAGAAGTGTGTCACTGTGCTGCATCTCATTATCATTCTGTTATGTTAATAAAATCAGTGGATTAGCACAAATGCTAAACATCAACCTTACAAATAATGTTTGTAGTAATACAAATCGTTTATGTAATATTTGATAATTGTTCATAAAATGTTCTTCCTCTGTGTTTGAGGTGTTTTTCTCCAAATGACCACTAGTGGGTGCTGTTTGGCCACTAAACTCCAGGCCTCCCTCCACCCTGCCACATCACCAGACTGTCTAGTTGTACAAAACAGGAATGTCACTTGGCATAGACATGTTGGCTCGTTGGTCTAGGGGTATGATTCTCGCTTTGGGTGCGAGAGGTCCCGGGTTCAAATCCCGGACGAGCCCAATTTTTAACCCTCTGCAACAGTGTCGCCCCAAATTACAGGTTGCTGGAGTTGTTTTAGTGGAATATTTGCACGCAGGGAGGCAATTACTGTCATTTCACTGAAAAAAGGAGTTTGGTTGCCTGACTGTTAATCTTCTTCAAAAGTTGAAATTTTCAGTGTGGTAGGTTGCTGTTTTTCAAACTCGAGGATTTTGATAACTATAACACATAGATAGCGAAAAAAGGAGGAAGCTGTGAGACATGCAATGGAAGACTTACTGACAGCTACAGCTAGTGAGCCAGATGACTAAAAAGCACTGAATTAATCAACAATGTTTGCTGGTATCAGAAAGTTGTGACAGTTCATTTCACCACAGCTGCCGCAGCGCTGACATGTGATCTATTTTTAAGGAGCTGTGGTGCAGCTTCTAGTATAACCTTGACGTCTACACATGGCTGACATATAAACTCTCTAACACAGGAGCTTAAACCCAACTAGCTATTCTTGTTTCTCTTCTGGACACTCTCTGGTCGTGTCTGAACACGTGAACAATCTGTCACGTTGTCGATCACCTTGTGTGACGACTTCGTACAGGTTGGTGACGGGGATGTCAGCAGTGTCATTGCTGTTGCTCGGATATGGCTCGGTGAAGCCGTACATGTGAAGCAGCTGCCAGTTGGCCATCTGTCCGTAGGTGTTAAACACCTCGTCGCCTTTGCGAACAGGACGCACGCAAACCATCTTCAAGCTGTCCTGGAAAAGATTGAATGTAGAAGAGAATATACAAAAACATGAGGTCAAGTTAAAACAAGTAAATATGAGCTCATTTTTTTTTTTATTTCTACAAAAAATGACTTCCTCACTTCTCAGCTGTGTGTTTTCACAGATTAAATGTTTGAAACAATAAAAAGTTTATCGCTATTAAAGCTGATGTATCTCCTCACCGGTGTAAACTCCAGATTGGCATTGTGATTGGACACGTGGTTGAGCATGTCGGCCATGGGAACCATCATCGGAGGGTTGGGGGCCTGCTCCTCTTCCTCATCCTCTTCGTCGTCTTCCTCTTCCTGCGGCTCTTGAAAACTAAAGAGAGGAAGAAAAACAGAATGAGGGTAGTGTAGCGGAGCATGGAATGGAATACTGATGTATTCCTCTCATGCATGCTAACCTGTAGGCCATGACGAAGGCCACCAGCTTTGTGTAGAGCTCCAGGGTGTGTGTGTTGGGGTTCCACAGGTCAGGATGTCTGATCATGAAAGGCAAGACCACGTCTGTGTATTCCCGCTGGATGTTGTTCAAGTCTGTGTCCACCGCCTCTGGAACACCGGTTCCCCTCAACAGTCTCTCTCTCTCCTCTTTAGGCCTGAATGGATGAACAGAAAATTACACTGAAGAATGCAGTTCATTGATTTCTAGGATGAGAGCTGTAAAAGGCTTCCCACCAGAACATGGGATGGTCCAGCGTCTTGAAGTTGGTCCACAGAGAGAGGTAGGGTTTCCAGTGGGACTGGGACGTAGTGTACTCATACAGAAGAGACAGCAGCAGGGGAACCCAGCCAGAAGAGCTCTCCAGAGATGATTTCTCTGTGGAGGAAAAAGGAGGAAGTGAGAAGGGTGATACAGGCAGCTGCGATCTTTTGGAAACTTCTTTGTAATTTTAACTCTCACCTTTTTCCAGCAAAGCAGAAACCTTCGTTGTTCCCTGGTGGAGAAGAGCTGATCTGGGGATGGTGAATAAAACCTCTCCTTCTTCTATGTTGTCCTTCGCCAGCATCCCATACTCAGCCGCTGTCCCTTCTTTACTCACATACACCTGCCGATGAAAACATCCAGTCTGAACTTCCTTGCCAATAGATTGGAGAATAGGATCAATTTAACTAAATGTAGGAAGTGAATATCACTCCAAAACTTTTAATAAGTACTGATGACTAAGACTGCAACTAGCAACTATTGCCATTGTTGATTATTAATCTGTTGAATATTTTCTCGATTAATTAGTTAGACAAAAAAATGTCAGAAAATAGTGAAAAATGTCCATCAGTGTTTCTCAAAGCCCAAGATGACATCCTGGTCCTCAAAGACTGACCTCTTCCACAAATGATAAGCCATTTTCCCAATCAGCAGCGTCATTATTTCCTTTAACCTACTGCCAATAAAAATAAATAAATTAAAAAATGTGCTCCTTTGGCTGTAAAGCAGCTGCCTCTCTCTATCTATCTGTAATCATCATTCTTGATCTTGAGCAATGTCCCTCTGCAGGACTACCTGACTGGTCGCGTATCATGATTAACAGTATAACAGCAATGGAGGATAAATACTGAAAAGTCTCTTTTAAGAAAGCATATGTAAAGTATAAAAAACAAAAGCATTCAACAATTTGACAGTTTCATTTTTACTCCAGATGTGTATCAGTTATTGGTCTGCTTGACAACAATAATCAGTGGTAACACCTTGGCCGACCCATGCTGCATACTTTCCAAGTGTGTGAAGTAACTGCAGGTTGTCTCATTGTACCTTACTGCTCAGCACCAGACCCACTCTGTCACACCACTGTAGAAAGCTCTGCAGGGGGGTGAGCTCTGCACCATCATCCACCTGTCAACAACATGATCACATGGAAAATAACATAAATCATATGATCAGGCATGCTTTACCTGTTACTATTACTGCCTCTACTGAACCACATGTTTACAATTACAAGAGAGCTTTTGTCTATTATTGCTCATTAACAAAGTATTCAGGGATGTCAAACCTGTTTGAGAGCCTACATGGTTTACAACATTCTTACAATGGTGTGTGTTGAGTCAGCTGTGGTAACAACCCAGGCTGTTACTACAATCACTGAAGGTGTGATCTAATGACAGCACAGGCTTTAGTCAACTCTGTCATGACACGAATCATGATATTTAAAAATTATTTACACTTTGAGTGAATAAACGGCTAATACAAGAGGAATAACACCAATGGCACCTACAGCTAAAAACTCACTAACCACGGGGAATAGATTAGATAAAGTAGCTGAAGCTGAGCTAATGTTGCTACACAGTAAACACAACGTGCACCGGTAGCAGCTAACGTTAGCCACGCTGTACAGTGTGGCTACTGTAAACGCAAAACACACAGATTCAAACAGCTAAATCAACACAAACAATGTGTTTCGGTTAAATCTGAAAAGCGCTGTAACCTTGACTCGTTTTGCTTCTGTTGCCATCTTCTAAAGGTAGTTACAAACCCCAAACTTTGCAGGAGCTAATGCTAGTTACCTAGCCGCAAAGCTACCTCACGCATGCGCACTGCGAAGAAAACCTGTTGATAAGTTTGACCCTCACGGTGACTCGTACGCAACACATGATGGCAGGGAGGAAGCGTGTACGTAAAAAAAACGGCCTGTATCAACATAAATGAAAATGTGGGTGTCTCACAATAGGGATTTAAAAAAAAAATTACAAGCTGGTAAAAATGTATGTGTGTATTATAAACAATGCTAAGTGTACAAGCTCAAGAAATTAAATCTATTAAATCAGTACAAATAAGGCTGATATGGTTTATCACAGATACGTGCAAGCAGCCTTTATGTATAGATTTTTCTATTAATGATCAATTTCTAAGCATAAACACAAGCCTATAGTGAATAATTATGGCAATTAACTCTCTCAAGCAAGTGCCTCAAATTGGTAAATTAGCACAAATTACAAAAATTGTTTGCAAAAATACACACCTCTGGCTTTAGATGTAAGACAAGATAATTGTTCATAGTATAATAGTGTTTTTTGTTTAGGATGTGTTTCCGCTCTTGACCACTGGTAGGTGTTGTTCAGTTGATCAGGTCCTGGCCTCCACTCTGCCACATCACTCATCTGTCCGCTTGTAACATAACCTGGAGGTCGTATAAAACATGGATGTCATTCCATCTGTAAATACTGGCTTGTTGGTCTAGGAGTATGATTCTCACTTTGGGTGTGAGAGGTCCTGGCTTCAAATCCTGAATGAGCCCTGCTTTTAGTCCACAGGGTTCAAGGTAATTGAAAATATGACATGAGTGACCGAAGATGACACCAACTGCTGTCACGTGCATCACACTACAATATCTAGTATCTAAAATCATTTACAAAAAACAAAAAGAAAAAAGCAGAACCGAACCAGACAGTTAAAGATGAGCACAGGACAGATTTAATGACTGCTGAGTAGAACTTCCAGCAGCTCCTGTGGCAGGTTGGACTTCCTCAGCTGACGGAGGAAGTACAGTCTTTGTTGCGCCTTCTTCGCCACAAAGTCTATGTGGATCTCCCATCTCAGGACCTGGGAGATGGTCGTGCCCAGGAACCTGAAGGACTCCACAGTAGCAATAGTGCTGTTCAGGATGGTGAGGGGGAGGGATGCAGGGAAGTTCCTCCTAAAGTCCACTGTCTCCATTGTTTTGAGCGTGTTCAGCTCCAAGTTGTTGTGACATCCGTCCTGGATGAGCCCAATAACAGTGGTATCGTCTGAGAACTTCAGGAGCTTCACAGAGGGATGTGAGCAGGTACAGTCATTGGTGTACAGAAGTGACAACATTTTATATCCAAAAGTTCACAAGTCAAATCTGGATGGCCAAAGATATGACATGAATAACCAATGCTGACATCAACAATTGGCACTGGCCTCATAGATAGATAGATAGATAGATAGATAGATAGATAGATAGGTAGATATTTCTGTGAAATATCTTGTTCTTTTTCCCTTCATTTCACTTAATATACTAATATTCTCAAACTAAACCTGTTTAAACTGCAGCTTCTGAAAAAAGCAAGATAAACCTTTTCACCACTGGAGAGAGCTGTTGGACTTGACAAAATGTGGAGCCCCAAGTCGCCACATTGCCAGTTTAAAGTTTAATCACAGTTCTTTGGACAGAATCATAGATGTGAACAGCTGTACATAAATGGTTTGTTGGTCTAGGGGGAAGATTCTTGTTTAAGGTGCAGGAGGTCCCAGTTTCAAATCCTGGATGAGCCGTGCCTTTGAACTGTGAGGATTGTACAAAATATTTCAATACATTTCTCATGAAACCTGAAATTTGCTAGGATTTCAGATGCAAATGTGTCAATAGTTTCTCAGATTCAACTGAACTTGGGGACAAAACCAACACCTCACACATATGTCTGATAGCATGAACAAATGAAGTCACGACATTTTGTCTCCAAAGGGTCAAAGGTCAAATCTGGACAGATGTGGACTGGTGGGGGGATACGACAGTGGGGCAGTCCTTCTTTCTTAATGACTATAGTATATTTTTACCTGCGCTAAGGAGGTTATCTTTTAGCCGGCGTTTATCTGTTTGATCGTTAGCAAGAAAAGTTATGAACAGATTTTTATGAAATTTTTAGAAAATGTTGATAATGGCACAATGAATAGATTATTAAATGTTTGTGATGTTCTGGCATGCCATCCAGTTGTTTTCTCATAAAACTGTAAATGCTGTTAAGTGTCAGTGCTACAGACACAGAATGCTGTCATTGCACCATTTGTCCACTAGATGGAGCTCTGACTATATTCAGTCCTCACCGCTGTCTTCTCAGTATAGCGTAGACTGTATAAATGTATGTATCTTCCCTGTATTTCGAGGCATACAGAAATACAAAGGCAGGACAGAGTCAAATTGACCATCACAGTAGGTGACAATAACATGACAACAATTGTAACAGCTTTGACTGGATCAATTTGATTATACCAGAGATTGCTATCATCAGCGTTCTGAAAATAATCAACAGTAGCACCAGAGATAGACACTTAATGCAAACTTTAT